TAAAAACAGGATAGCAATCTACAGAAAAAATTAACTTGCATTCATAATTTATAAATAACTCAATCAAGTAAAACAATTAATAGTCAAGCATGACTATAATAATATATGTATACTTACTTTTGTATGCTCTACAGTCAAAAAGTTCCCATAGAGTGTTGGCATTACATCTTTCATCATTAAAATATACATAAAAGCAATAACCCCTATTATTTACAGAATTAATTTCAAATGAAATATGTTTCTTATACTTTCCATTCTTCAGCTAAATGAAAAGTACAGATTAGTTAATAATTAATTGACTTTTATTGGAATAAATGATAAATATCAGAAACAGAATTTACCACAGCTACATTAGATGTATTCTTCTTAAATTCATTGTATATTGTCTGAAACCAAGATATCGTAATTAAGTAATACATTACAAGTAGTCAAGAAATTTTGTAATTATAAAAGTATACTGAAATATTTTCGGTCCATTGTTTTCTTAGTGTTGCATTGTAAATACAGTTCTCTTGTCCAGTCGAGTTGTTGATTGATCCTAATCCTAATTCCACTTCGGAAATTAGTGGTATTAAGAGATCTACATCAAAGTAGAGTCTTTTCCTATGAAATTTAAATATAATTGCACTTTGACTTGTAATGCTAGACATATTAATAAGTATTATGTAGTTAGAATTAACCTATAATATAAAATATGACAAACTGTGTTTCTTTAGTTTTAATGCAAATAACTCAATTAGTCTATCTTGCATGTGTAAAATGTTTTCATTCTCATGAATAATTGTTGAAGCTTTTATATAAATAGTGTAAACGTACTCTGTAGAGTTGTCATCCATAATTCTGTATGTACATGTCAATTGCGGAGTTGTGGTCACTGTGCGTTTATATTTTGTTGTCAAGAATTTTTTAAATATATATCTCTTATGGTCAAAACTGAATTGCACAGCATAACATGCAGTAAATATATGTGGGTAACTTATATTCTGTAAGAAATACAAAATATAATGTAGGACATATATATTGCATATAAATTATATAGTTATCATTATATACTTATAAAAGTTTGGCAATAAAAATATTTACCAAATAGGGAGTGGTATTTGAGAAAAAACATACTGTCTTTTCGGGAGTATGTACTTCAGTACCATGCAGTTTATGAAAATCATAAGTTTTGCATCCAGTTTCGTTAATTGACTCATTTGCTAATAATGTTACTTTATACATACATTTCTTTTTTGGTTGTATAGAATTTATTTCTAAGCTAGCTACAAACAATTATCAAGCCATACTATTATTATTTATAAAGATATAATCATTAATAGATATGATTTGTGGAAGCACATGAAATAAACTTTTATAAAACCTACAGTATAAACAAATTAATATTTACCAGGATAATCAAAAGATTCCCCGTTTTTTACAGTGAAATTAATATTATGTGGTAATTTTTCCAAATCATCTTCTGTACAGTTGTCCAGACCTGAATGAGTAATTAGTGCTCTGCATCCCTGAGCATCACATATAGTCTACATATTAAGTTAAAGTATATAAATTATGTTAAAGCATATCTAATTTATATTTATATTAAACATGCATGAGCAATACAAATACACAATGCACGAATGTAGCAAATTAGAACTGCATAGGGAAAATTTCTGTAAATACACATAATACTCACATCACACTTGTCCAATCCCAAGACTGATAAATAGTTGTATATGAGGAAAAAAGCAAAACGATAACCTTGATACATATCTCTATTTCAACAAAAATTACGTAAAATCGTGATAGTTATAGAAAATTGTTTTTAAATATTTGTTTTATGGTTTATTATTTAAATTTCCCACATATTTTTTGATGTAAGGTATATATAGAACGAACATAATTTTATCGATTGTAACGTATTTTATCAGTAATATTAAATATTAACATAATCAATTTTCAGCGTATACTGTTTTGCAAAACGGCAGAGATCGGCAGAACATGTTTATGCTTCATTTAACTGTATTTAACGGAAAAAGAAGACAGAAAAAAAACAAAACTGCGAAGGAGTATGATATCCGCATATATATGTATGTATATATGCATATATATATATGCATATGTATATACATATACAATATGTCCAACGTCACTCCTGCAGCGCTCTTTTTAACTATGATTACAATTCAAATATGCTCTATATTCTGTATATAATTTATTTGTTTGCTTTAAACAAATACAGGATAATGATTAAATGCGATAAAATAACTAAGCTTTTAAATATTGATAACACAATTACAAATATATGTATAACGGTTCCACTGTTAACGCATAACTGTTATTTGATCCATATATTTGGCTATTTATCAATGGAAGCAGAGTTTTGGGAAATCCCCATTATGTTCCTTCCGCATTGAGTGCATCGAGATATGGCTCTCCGTTATGTTTATTGACTTTAGGTAGCGCCGACTATTCACTCAACGAAAACTTTTGAAAGCTGTTGAGGATGACGGTAGTCATTTACATAACAAGGAAAACCGGAGTTCGTGAACATGGTATTTCAGTTGTAGTTTAGCGTTACTCAACGTGTAGGCAGCGATAAATTTTTGTTGAGCTGAGAAATGGTATTAGCTACCTTACGTCGAAACCGAAACGTAGATTGTAAAACGTGCTTTCTAAAAAGTTCTAGTAGGATATTCTTGTGAATTCAAAAATTGAAGCTATTTCAAATTAAACATTATTTTGTTCACAACTTGTTTAGCAGTATTTAGCATATTATTTTAATATGCAGTAACTTCACTTTATCAAATTTTTAAATACGTTATATTATAAATATTTGAAACGCAATACCATTATAAACAAATATATTGGGTCGCAGGACAAAAAGGTTGAGGATGCTTTTTAGAAATCTGTGAGTAAATGTTGGGTCAGCTCTGATCGGGAATATTTTTAGGGACCAAAACGGATTTAGAAGATATTTCGAGACTCGGAAATATGTATCGGGGCATTATAAAATAGTGTCACAAAAGAGAGTCTCAAAATACCTTCGACACCTGTTTTACCCGATCAGAGTATGTACCGTCCCACGAGAAGATGGTACAGATTTCAACAGTGGGGTGTGGAGGGATCTGCAAGACCTCTCTCTTCTACCACAGTACATAGGTAGATGGGTTTCTCTGTGCCATTTTCTCGTGGATGGACTATACTTATACTTTTTAATACACAAGGAAATAAGATAATATTTTTATTTTTGCTATTTTTATGTTTTACTTTATAATTAGTATTTATAAGTATACATACATTATAACCATTTTTAACATAAGTCTGAAAAATTGATGAAGTGTGTGAATAAGTTCAGGCACAGTTACCAAAATTTGGTTCTAATGGCACGTACATATAATTAGTGCCCGAATTTGTAATAACTACACTGCCGGTATTTATGTAATAAAATAAATATTAAAATATTTCTTATCTTTCTATTATTCTCAGAAAATTGAAAATCTTTCTAATAAATATTATAACATAAATTTCCATTTGATAGTAACCTTCAGGAATTTGTTTTTAAAACTAGAAAAATTCGTAACCATCTGTTGTTCGTCGTTCTAGTGCATGTAGTCTCTAATACTCATGACCAACGTCCAGTATTGGATGTAAATAATCGCTACTAAAACTGCTCGAAAAATTCTTTTTAATTGTAGGCTCCACGATTGTTTCCACAAAGAATATTTATATATATTTCCATAATTGTATAAAACTTATCGAGCGTACATGACGTTTATGCAAATGAAGCAAAAGAACTATTACATATCGTTCACAGCCTGTCTAGCGTTCTTACTAAAAGCTTACTTTTGAACGGTTTGCAAACTGAAATACTGTTATACTCTAGTGCTTCGCAAGATACGTGGTATCTAAGCACTCCTCAATATATTGTTGCATCTATAAATTACTGAGTATGCGAATAATTGCATCATGTATTCAAATATGTGTAAACGACGATACATTGAATATCCTGCCGGTGGAATATATTCGATAACAAGGAAAATGAGAGCGTTATGAATTCCATATGCAAAACCTCCAATTTCAACTAGCAGTACAAACCATTTCCTTGATTTTCAATTGCATATTTTTGCAAATACTGAGACGCCTTTTCGCTTAAACCAAGCTTTGGTAATTCTTTTTGAAATTGTTCGATTGTTCCAGCACCAGCTATGTAACCATTTAATTTAGCTGCTAGAGGAGAATTTCGAAGAGCTTCGTCGCTTTTGAGACCGGTCGTCTCCATTAGCCATGGATGGCTTCTGAGACGATATTTTTGATGGTAGCTAAAAATAAAATCGAAAAATTAAGCAACGAATACTTTGATATTTTTTTAAAAAATTATACTTTGTAATAATCATATTGTTCTTATCGAGCCCACTACGGTTTTACAACCAATTATTTTACGACAATAAAAGATCTAATTCTTTTCTATCTCTCATCTAAGAACTCTTGTTCTCTCAGTCTATACGCAAACTTACTCTTCAGCAGGATAGAATTTTTCAAACTTTCTAACTTCAGTGAGGATTTGAGCTGTATGTTTGCGCTGTTCTTGTTCACGTGACTTCTCGCCTAATGATTTCTGCTCATCATCGTGATACAGAATCAACGACATATACTGAAATTTGGAAATAGAGTTTTAGGGATAAGTCTTAAGCGACTTTATTCATACTTTTATTTATACTTTATTCATATCAGTGACTACCATTCATATTCGAACTTCTTTTAAAACACTATAACTTTTTTAGAACTGGACAAAACGACTTGAACTTTTTTTAGATGATGGAGGGACCAGTCTACTAGACCATAACTAGAATGCTTTTCTTAAATTTCGCTACTGCCTAGAATGACAAAGGAAAATAAAAAACTCTCATTTTTTAAGTTTTTTATCTGAGCTTATAACGAAAATTTAAAAAATGCGTTTTGTAGATCTCGATAACTTATATGGATGTTAAAAATTTCATTAAAATCGGTTGACTTGGGTATGAGCTGTAAACAATTAAAAATCGCGAAAGTCGCAGTTTTGTCCCGATGTTTGACACTTTCGAGCAATAAGTGTGAGAAATCTGCAGTTATTAAAATCTTTTAACGCTTGTAACTTGACTTTGCGTTAACCGATTTCGATGAAATTTTCAGTATACATATAACTTACCGAGATCTACAAAAAGCATTTTTTAAATTTTCGTTATAGGCTCAGATAAAAAAGTTAGAAAATAAGAGCTTTTAAATTTCTTTTGTCATTCTAAGCAATAGCAAAATTTTAAAAAAGAATTTTTGTTATGGTCTAGTAGATTAAAAAGAATTCAGATCGTTTAGTCCTGTTCTAAAAAAGTTATTGAGTTTCAAAAGGTGTCCGAATATTAGTACCTGTCTCTTGATCTTTGTAGTAAGACCGTATTCGTGATTCTTCCAAAACAATGCCAGTAACTGCGAGTACGATATCAAGTCGGGATTATACTCGATATCAACGACTTCTGTGTGGTCACCCCTATAACCGGAAAATATATAAATAAAACAACTTTCTGAAAAAAAGTGTAACTAAAATTGAAATGAAAACTTACATATTTCTGTAAGTTGGTACTTCTTTTTGTCCACCTGCGTAACCCACGCTAGTCCTAATCACACCTGGTAGGACTCCAAAAAGGCAATCACCTGCCCAGAAGCAGCCCATTCCGAACGTAGCCCGCTTCGATTGAATCTCTTCTAATTGACCAGGCATTTTGATCGACTGATTAAAATATAAAAATATTAGATTATAGATATCGCTATAAAATTATTTCTGAAATATAATAAAACACTAATGGAATTATATATAGCTCTTTTATGTGATAAATATGCCTGATAGTATAACCCTAATGATATTATGGTATTTCGGCGTCATTGAGATATTTCGATATGATAAATCGCGTGGGAAACCTGCTAAGTAATGATTACGGTGACAGAGATACGCGCGAAACAATATATTGGATTTTTCGTTGTAGAATATTTTCCGTAACACTTTCGTTGTCTGCAATTTTGTACGTTTTTTTCTATCTCTGTATTCATGAAAACGTCTTCTCCATCATTATTTCCGCTAACCAATTAAAAATCAACAAATTACATCGCAAAATATATCTCTGCAATGTAATATTTCCAATTTATGTATGACTCGACAGAAACGTAAGCATCGGCAACTCTCTTTATTTGCGAATTAAAAAAGTTTATGGTATAGGCAATTAAAAAACTCATTAATTGTACAGAAGTTGAAATTATCTAACGATTAAACGATTCATTATTAAGANAACACTATAACTTTTTTAGAACTGGACAAAACGACTTGAACTTTTTTTAGATGATGGAGGGACCAGTCTACTAGACCATAACTAGAATGCTTTTCTTAAATTTCGCTACTGCCTAGAATGACAAAGGAAAATAAAAAACTCTCATTTTTTAAGTTTTTTATCTGAGCTTATAACGAAAATTTAAAAAATGCGTTTTGTAGATCTCGATAACTTATATGGATGTTAAAAATTTCATTAAAATCGGTTGACTTGGGTATGAGCTGTAAACAATTAAAAATCGCGAAAGTCGCAGTTTTGTCCCGATGTTTGACACTTTCGAGCAATAAGTGTGAGAAATCTGCAGTTATTAAAATCTTTTAACGCTTGTAACTTGACTTTGCGTTAACCGATTTCGATGAAATTTTCAGTATACATATAACTTACCGAGATCTACAAAAAGCATTTTTTAAATTTTCGTTATAGGCTCAGATAAAAAAGTTAGAAAATAAGAGCTTTTAAATTTCTTTTGTCATTCTAAGCAATAGCAAAATTTTAAAAAAGAATTTTTGTTATGGTCTAGTAGATTAAAAAGAATTCAGATCGTTTAGTCCTGTTCTAAAAAAGTTATTGAGTTTCAAAAGGTGTCCGAATATTAGTACCTGTCTCTTGATCTTTGTAGTAAGACCGTATTCGTGATTCTTCCAAAACAATGCCAGTAACTGCGAGTACGATATCAAGTCGGGATTATACTCGATATCAACGACTTCTGTGTGGTCACCCCTATAACCGGAAAATATATAAATAAAACAACTTTCTGAAAAAAAGTGTAACTAAAATTGAAATGAAAACTTACATATTTCTGTAAGTTGGTACTTCTTTTTGTCCACCTGCGTAACCCACGCTAGTCCTAATCACACCTGGTAGGACTCCAAAAAGGCAATCACCTGCCCAGAAGCAGCCCATTCCGAACGTAGCCCGCTTCGATTGAATCTCTTCTAATTGACCAGGCATTTTGATCGACTGATTAAAATATAAAAATATTAGATTATAGATATCGCTATAAAATTATTTCTGAAATATAATAAAACACTAATGGAATTATATATAGCTCTTTTATGTGATAAATATGCCTGATAGTATAACCCTAATGATATTATGGTATTTCGGCGTCATTGAGATATTTCGATATGATAAATCGCGTGGGAAACCTGCTAAGTAATGATTACGGTGACAGAGATACGCGCGAAACAATATATTGGATTTTTCGTTGTAGAATATTTTCCGTAACACTTTCGTTGTCTGCAATTTTGTACGTTTTTTTCTATCTCTGTATTCATGAAAACGTCTTCTCCATCATTATTTCCGCTAACCAATTAAAAATCAACAAATTACATCGCAAAATATATCTCTGCAATGTAATATTTCCAATTTATGTATGACTCGACAGAAACGTAAGCATCGGCAACTCTCTTTATTTGCGAATTAAAAAAGTTTATGGTATAGGCAATTAAAAAACTCATTAATTGTACAGAAGTTGAAATTATCTAACGATTAAACGATTCATTATTAAGAATGGTATAAAAGTGATAAGAGTGACATGTGTATAGCACCTATAAATAAAATCGAAATATCTTATAAAAACATTTAAATTTTAATCTTATCCTATTAAATGTTTACACTTTCCAAAAATGAACAACGTTTACCTCTTTCACGTTCAAAACAAGGATAATGCACGGAATAACTGCAATGATTTTGGCAGCAACAGAATCTAACATGATTAACGGGTTTTCCTTCGCTGATTTTAATTTTGTAAAAGAATTATCTTATTGTTTACTGTCTTCGTATTTTTAGGTTCAAAAATTCCTGTCCCTTTAGGACACCCGATGTGTATAAGGTCCGTTCCGCCTACAAAAAAAGTAGCACGAAATATTCAAAGTGAACTGTACAACCTGATCTCCTTGATCGTTCCCTTTTTAACTGAACTCTCCGAAAATTTTATCTTTTGTATAGTATTGTATTATAAAATCTTGCACAAACATTCAATACATTAAAATTGTCTTAAAATAAGTATTTAAAACAGTATTAATTATGAAAAGGATTTGAAAATTAATAATCACGAAGTTTTGGAAGAAAAGTGTAACGACTTTTTGATTTTTAAATAACCGATTTTCCAATCGTTGTTTACTATATAAGAAGTTTTGATAATAAATTTATGTGGAAGATTGTCAATCTTACGAAGTGTTTAAAATGCTATTCGTCTACTTCGATGTACTTGAACAACGAACGCTCACCCAGTTCTTTTTATTGCATTAGCACCTCGGCATACAGGCTGTTCCATGTATCAACGTAAAATTTTAGTTTTCTTTGAACTCTACAAAAAATTACGTTAAATATCAGTTAAACAAATGTTTTCATTGTTTGGATGCTAATACAAATTTGTTTAGTACAAAAATTATAGTCATTTTAAAAATCACAAAAATATGTATATAACATATCAAAACATTGACGCAAGTTATTGCAGAGTTCATAATTTTATTTAAAAATCAAATACTCGATTATATCTTCAAGAAAAAAAGCTGGCAAAAAAGATCTGGTTTTTAATAAAATATTCTTTTGTTACTGAATTGAGTAGTATTTTAAAGAGAATAAGCAAAATGCATTGCTTTGAATATTTATTAATATGGTTTCTATCTTCAAATAATGTCAAATATGAATTTACAAGTTTAAAATAGCTTGTATCAAACAAGAATTTTTCATTAATTAACAAATAATCACAATGATCCTGTTATGCAGTTCACTTCGTATACAAAATACTTCGCGGTATAACACACTAAACACATATTTTTCACATAGGTATCTATTTAATTTCAGTAAAAACCTAAAGTTTTCGGTATCTCGAAAAACTGACGCAATATAAGAAAAAATGCGACACTTCCTTGTTTGAGTTACTTTGTTTAATACAGTGTATATACTTATTCATAACATGCAATGAATTAATATGAAAATGAACATTTCTCTATAATAAAGTTCATTTCGAAGTTGGTGCTTATATTTTAACAAAATTTGAATGATGCTCAAAGATATTGTTTACCTTACACTACAATAAGGCAATTTGATTATAAAACAAGTTAAATAAAAGAATTATTAAAATGTAATGAAACGAAGTTCGAGTCCAATAGAAAGCGTCTTACTCGTGATGGAAAGAACGAAAGAACACAAGAAACTACCGCGTGTTCCAGTCGGACTACTTTTTATCTACTCTATCCCACCTCCTCCTTTTGTCCCTACTTTACTGCACTAGCCACCACTACTCATTCCTCCTACAGTACATCATCTTAATTCTTTTTATTCCCGACACGTCTGAAGCTTTGATTCAATTTGTCGTCTCGGTTGGTTTACTATTTCTATTTACACCTCGCACAATACCCAATAATGGCTCATGGACCGATAGCGGGACACGTGCTTGCGACACCATGAAATGTTCAGTATAACGGTAAACGATTCTCATACTTTCCTTCTCAAGGCGAAACTGGTGTTCCTATCAAATTTTGCTCAGTATCAAGGTCGTTCATTGAGACGATCTTTTCGATCACTTTGCGGCAAATGCGTCGAAGATACATATCATGTATATCTATAGTTATTTCGACTGAAAATAGTACAGAGAAAATACCAAGAAATGTTGCTTAAATCAAATTATTAAAATGTCTTTTGTTCGAAAAAGTATCAATAATTTCAAACATGATCGTTATCTATATAAACAAAAGAGAAAATTAAATATCAGTCTTTGTTGCAACAAACAAAAATCGATGTCAACATACAATTCAAAATTGTGTAAAACAATTATGCAATATTTTACTGAATGCCGTATAAACGCCGTGTAAAAAATAACTCACAGTATTTTCTAACTTACTGCAATGTTCATGGCACTGATCGAACTAACTTTACTAGGAAATTTGGCCGACTGCTGTCCCATGTCGACTATATTGCTATTCTCAATTGATTTTCATGCCTTCTATTCTACAGTAAACATTCTTATGTGACCCTTGATGTATGTTTTGGATCAATGCCTCCATACAACATACTGAGACTTAGCATTTCCAATTTTTATGCAGTGTCCCTGCATTGCGTTTTTCAAAAATGTTCGTAACTCACTCAATAAGCCATTCTTATTTAATCAATTTTGAAATATCCGCCAAATCTTTATCGAAGAAAATGTAATATTAATAAATAATGTAATAAATTAACAAATCGTTTTGTATAAAAATCCTCATTTTATAAGCATTTATACATGTCTTTCACTATGTTTCATGAAATTTCGACAACGTGCAACCGTATAAATTTGTGCAAGTCTAAATTCAATTGACTTAAAGCACCAATATTTATTAACCTCTCATCATTGTGTCACTGATTGATACCGAAGCTTATGATATATAAATTGCTTTGATTGTCAATTTAGACAGAGTTCGATAAATTCTCTGTGTATGTTGCATCAGCAACCGAGGCAGGATGTATCCGTTAAACTAGATAACAATTGCTGGACCGACTGATGTAATCTTTCAACTCTGCACGCTAGCTCAATAGTCTGTCACTTGCGATCACTCGCGATTCAAAAAGTGCGGCATTATCAATGACGACCATCGCGAACGGAGGTTACTACTACATCTTCTACATTCTGTATATTCGATGCTCTAATGTTACATTCATAATTACGTTTCGTTCATATAATTGAACATATTGATCAAATATGAGTAGTCACCCGATGAAACCGAAGCAACCGATTTCACAATATGATGAATCTAATCGGACACGAATTATTTAGTATCTATTTAGAGATGTCATGGTAACGTACCGTACAGTAATATCTGATGCCGATCACGTTTCTATGTAGCAAGAGGTTAAATTTTGGCAGAATCATCTTCATTACGAATATTTGTACAATTATGAACATTCTGGAAAAAATTCATTCATCATTCTTCATTCATCAACATCCCAAGACAGCGAACAATGACAAACGCATAAATCGTACACTCATTTTATGTATTTCTCAGGCATTGTCATAGTAAATTTTGGTACAAATGATACGAAACCTTTTTCGATAAACTCGATGCTAACGATAGCTAATCTGTAGAAATTTTATAAAGTTTATTTATTTACTGTTTTCCTCGTGCATGTTGCTGAATTAAAGCTTCCTTCGAAAATTTGATCTATCTTTAACTACTTGTGATCACATGACTGTTATCGCATCCGCCAATGAACAGCGGGAAAAATTTTGAAATATGAATTCGAATTTCCAAATAACGAAATGTATCGTCATATAGTTAAATATAATTTTATTGGCAACGCATTTGATGAAACAAAACAACGCGACTTATTGTCGACAAAACGGATCCGTAACTTCGGAAAATAAACTTGGCCACCATTCAACGGTCAACTCAAAACTGGCACGAACTAGGAAAATTATTAGATTCTAATTTGAAGAAATCATTATGATGGCCCCCACGGGTGTTCACGCACTTTGATTTCTGCTCAGTGCATTGAAAGTTAAAGTCAGCGTGAAAAAATTTAGAAAAGCGCAGTAGTAACTATGACTATATTAGTTTGTCTTGTTATTATCATAATAACAACCATAATTAAAATTTTATTTTATTTAAAAAATTTTAGTTCTTCCTGTATTTTGCATTTGCTACAGAACGTGCCTTATTTTAAAGAATGCTTGATGTGACGTGTTAAGTTATTCGCAGTTATTATGTATTGGTTTTTCACTAGTTTCATGTTACGACTACGACTATTTATCATATTTTTGGCACGTCGACTTCTACATTTAGCATTATTGCTGATTTTGGAGAAGGGACACTCCCCTTGTTACAACTAACTGTAAAAAGCTTAATCCAAGAAGAAAATATTTAAAAAAATTTCTTTTATTATTTGTTTGCAAACGAAATTGTGTTATTAACTTCAACTTCAGTTATTAAATCTTTTCTTCTTTGTTTACGATTGAGATTTTGACAATAATAAATATTTTAGTGTATTAACCCTCGGCATGCCAACCCTGGATCACATTTAGTCTCTACAGTATGTAAACAATGTTACGCTCACTGAACGCAGTTCCTATCCAATTTATTATGTTTTTAAGTGTGAAAATGACGAATAAAAAATAATTTTCCTGTATCTTGCATTAATTTTATTATCTTACCTATCCTTTAGATGTATAATAATACATAATTTTAATAGAAAAACTATTTCCAACGTATGTATTAGTGTGGATCCAAAAATACCCAAGGTTGGTCTCTTGCTTCTCTGGCGGAAGGTCGGCTTTCCGAGGATTAAAATATTAAAACTTTATACGGAGGCCGAATATAAAATTATACAACATTAATTTACCACATAATTTACGATATATTTTTAAGGAAGAAGAAAGTAAGGACATATGGTATCTAGAATAACGGCACACAAAAAATTTACAAATTACAGTATGCCTAGAAATGTAGATATCTAAATTAATATAAAAAATAATATTTCATAAAAAACGCGGGAAATACTTCATACGGTATCATACATATTAGTCGCAATGACACATTCTGCGCGCAATATACAATTCTCAATTATTGTTCGAAATATACACTATTTTACGCGGGAATAAATAAAACTCTGTACAAATTCAAAATAAGGCTTTGAATTCCATTAAAATTAATTCTCATAGCGTAGTTGATACTTAAATATTTGTTTAAGTACAAAAACATGAAAATCTATGATCGAATCTGCGGGCATATTGTTTAATCAAAAGAAAATACTTCAGTAAGTATCTTTAGAGTACTTAAAATCGGCAACGTGCTATCTTGCACCATATTCGAGAACTTCATTATTCTTTCTGTACAATTATCGAGCATTGTGTTTTTTTGTTCTTGTGAGAACACATCGGTGTCGAGTTTACAATAACGAAGGTAGTAAAAGTAAAAACACAAAATATGGAGGAAAACTGAAGTTGCATACAGTGATAATGTATGCAGGAGAAAGAAGAAAAGAGTTACATGACGGTGCAACAGTTTTTTTCGGAGTGATTGTCACCGACAATATCGCTGGTGTTCCCGGTGAAGCGTTGAAAGTCGCCGCCAGTGTTGAGTTCGGAATTGGCGATGGGCGATACAGGAATGCCATTCCCATTGGCATCTATCGAACCGGTAGATATGTGTCGATTCTGCGCCCTTTGTTTCTTCAAATCGGACAACGATTTGACAAAAACTACCGACACATGTATGTTGATCTTGCCATTGGTGTCACGGTCCGGCGTGTAGATCGACTGCTGATTACCGACCGGTGGGTCGGACCCTGTGACTACCGAGGCAAACATGTAAATCCAACGCTACTTCCTTTCTTCATGGTTCGCGCGAAATTTCTTTCCCTTTTCACTTGCCACCTTTCACCTCGTGTAACCCTCCACCTAATCCCCATTCTTATACACTGAAACGGTACTTTAAACAAAAACTCAACTAGTGTTATTAACTAGTGGCCATGCACCGCCAAGCGTTACATGCTTTAGCGATAAAAGCGTTAATAACATTGCAGAAGAGAGTATCATGAATGTTCTACATGTACCTACATGAACACCACCATCACCTTCTATTTTCCATTAGCGAGTCATTACACCTACCAAAACTTTTCAAATCTTTTACTTCTGGAAGAAAGAACTAGATATTTTTTAAGAATTTGTTCTCCCTTTACTCCGAAAAAATAATAAACTCTATCTATCGCCTTGTCAGATTATAATGTAAACCTTCTAGGTACTCAGTTTAAACGCATTTGGTTGAAGCAGAAGATTTAATTTAGAACTGGTGTTTGTATGCAGCGAACTCCTTGCATGTAGGGAAATATACATACACATAAAGCATACACAACAGTTGAATTCTCTGGAACATTGAAATCACTTACTTCATGTTTCCTTGAAATATAAACTTATATCATTCTGTGTCGATGTCCAAATAATGTACTGTTCATTATAACAGATTAATACCATCTCAAATCAATCACATATTTTACCAATTTAACTCATAAAATTTATTAAAACATAACAACAAGAATTATAAATAGTACAATTTAACGGACTAAAAACATTTTTAGAAATAGTAAATTAACCATAGATTCAATGTCAATGTGCTTTAACAGTTATACTTTTTATCAAACTTTCTAATGATAATAAACTAAACTTGCTTATCTAAAGTTTACAAATTTACTTTTCTATAGCATACAAAAGTTTAAGTAAGTAAGTCAGTTGTAATCACACTAACTTATAAAATTAAGTATAAATCACTTAAGTTATATTATTTTCTAGTTTTCAATTAAGACAAATTTAATTGACAATTACAATAAAAATGTTGAACGAGTTTGATCGATTTGATGTGGAGTTTGTATCAATTCAATGATTATATGGTATTAACAACATGAAATAATTTAATGCGGTGACACAACTGACCTCGTAACGATTTTATCGTATAGAGATAAAATTAAAAGACAGGAAGACACATTGCGCGAGTAAGGAACTAACAATGAATGAATACAGTTCGTCGTTAGCGCAACCAATTCGTTAAGTCTGCCAAGAAGTTATCGGTTTTTGTTATTTTTTAATTATGTAAGTTAGTGTAACAGTTAATACACCACACAATCATAATTAGAATAAAAATAAAATTTTAAGCAAGAGAACTTTTCTAAATCAAATTCTGCATTGCAAATGTTAAAAAAAAGTATTCATTACAAATAGGATTAACAGTCATACATGTATTGTAATGATTACCACTAACGAAGGAACAGGAAAGTTATCATTTTTTTGTGTAGCCAGTATTAATTACTTTAAAACTGTTTGAATTATACAAAGTACAATGATTGCAGCACAAAGCAATTTTAAATTTGTAAATGATAGAACTTCTCTACAGACCTAACATAAATAGTAGAGCTGTTCGATATGTTTCGTACGCGACATACTTTTTCATTTCATTAACAATCTTCATTATGATATGTAATAAGTATACGTGAAGTGCTCGTTGAATATTTATTATGGCTGTATTGCAACGTAGTCTCAACTTTATTCAATCTTTTAACTTCAGAATGAAAAATTGAAAATCTCATTATCATAGTGTGCTACATCTCTAGTTATTGATTTACTTCAAAATTTTAATGTAGGGCAAGATACTCGAACTGTATGCAAGAGTTGTCCTAATTCTACTCATATACTTGGAAGATGTAACTTGTGTAATGTAAATGTGCGTTAAAGTTCGATTCTGAAATGTTGGAAAGTACAAAATCACGTTACAAAAACTTCGTTTTAATTAAAACTTATCGCAATGCTTTCTTACATATAGCAGTCAATAAGCTCTGCTAAACGCTAATCAATGTATTTGGAAAAAATAGTGCTAAGAGAAAAGCGAGTCCAACGCAACCCTTGGCACAAACAACTTGATGTCTCAATATTGAAGTCTCCATATCAGAAAAGTATTCTCAAAGAGGAAAACACATTATGTATGCACACAACATACAGATGGTCCAACATGTTATGTATGAATCAATATCTTGAAACATACGATAATGTGTAAAGTTTGAAAATAATGTAAACGCTGCATTCAAAAGTACGTTCAAAGGAATAGAAATGTGACATAGAAAACTGACCTCGCAATTATTCAGGAGCACGACGCAATAATAACAGAAAGAAGAAAGGGCTGATAAATGATCAATGATCAACATTTCGTTTGACAATTTATCAGTAAATAATACTACTGCACTACTTTGTCTATGCTACTATAGTAATGCAGAATCACCCTGAGTAATCAGATTTCAGAATTTGTTCAGAACGTTTTCTCTAATATTTGAAATGATATATGAGTACTCTGTTTTAAAATAACTCGCTCTTATTACATTATTAAATTGCAATTATTATATCACGTTATCAAGGTCCAGTTATGCGTTATGAACGCACGATGTTAATGGATATGACACATTGGGTCTTCAATGATAGATTTTATGCAAAAAGCTACCATTTACCAGAGGATTCTACTTAACCATAACCGATGCGAGTGTAACATATTTTGGAATATACCTGATTCTTTATCGACGTCCTCACGAAGAAAAGATTCATTATCCTTCCCCTCAGGAGCTTTTCGTACTGCCATTGGCGGGGCATTAGAATCTATTTCGCTACTTGAATTTTCTCGTGCATTAATATCGTTTTCCGTTTGAGGCACATTCGCAGTTGCACTGACAACGTATGTCTAAGGTATAGTTATTATTATTCGATAATTTGATATAGCATAAGAAATCAAAATAATTATTGAAAATTTCTTGCCTGTTGTGCTTGTAATCTGAGCCGAGCTTCTTCTTGAGCATCCTTCTTGGTCGTCAAAACTTTGTCTCTAATTGAAGTTCGTCTTACACTTTGCGTGCGTGTATTTATACTTTGAGATCTGCGCACTCTTCTTCCTTGTGCTTCCCGCAACCGCTTACTCTCTTGTTCCGTTTTAAGTTCTACTATCCTCTCTCTTATCTCCGGATCTTCGCAAATATCTATAAAATTGTATTCAATATATTATTCAATTACTTACTTTGTATTAATCAATACAAAGAATATTGTATGAATACGTTACCCGCTGGTGTCTCGTCATGTTTATTTTTTGCATTTAAGTCTGCTCCATTTTGCACTAGTAACTCAAGAACTTCTAGCTGAAATGGTATAGTATGTTTAGAAAATAATTGTTTCAAGAAATAAATTAAATTTGTTAAATATGATTTGTCTTTACATGACCCCAACATGCAGCTGCATGCACTGGTTGCCACTTATCATTATCTTCAACATCTGTTGCAACATGTTGATCCAAAAGAAATTCTACTACCCTTAAGTAACCGTTGGCAGCTGCAATATGAAGCTGCAATTTGAAAAAGATAGAGCGAATATATTCCCGTATTTGATACTTACTCAATGTCTACATACTTTTAATAAACTTAAATACTCACTGGAGTAGCACCTTGATGATCTTTATACTCAAGATCACCACCTACAGTAGCTACATGCTGTAGATCTCTCAACATTTGAACTTCTATTGATGCTCTTGTTTCATCTATCAATTCTTGAGTTACGCCCCATCTTGCCATTTCCCCTAAAATACACAAATGGATGTAACTTCAGATGAATATTCAAATATAATGCTTAATTATATAGATATTTTTTTACCTTCAATGCAGTCCAATGTTTTTTCATCTTCACAAATATCATAAGGCATATTGCCATCAGCATTAACTGCTAACAGATTAGCACCTCTAGCAATAAGGTATTTAACTAAATGTAGGTGACCACAAGTAGCGGCAGCATGTAATGGGGTCCACTTCTCACTATCTTCTGCATTAACATTTGCTCCAAACTCAATTAACAGCTTCATCATCTCTTCATTATCATCTATACAACATTGATGCAAAGCTGTAAGTCCATCTTCATTAGTTGAATCTGGATTTACTCCTTTTTTTAAAAGCCGTCTCACTAAAGGTGTATTACATTTGTTAATAAAAGATGTCCAGAAAAATAATATAATCAATAAATTCGAATAAATATATATTATCACCTTCATCAATGTCATTTCTTGCTGCTGCCTCTAAAAGCATAACACTGTCATTAAAGAATATATGACGTTTGTTGCTTGGGTGCCTAGTTTGATGTCGCAGCCATTCTTTTTCACGCTGACGCCATACTTTCAATTGCTGAAGCCTTCTGTGTCGAGCCAGGTGCAATCTCTCTTGCGTTGTTAACCTCTCTACATGCACCATTTCTGATACCAAGTCAGAATGTTCCATGGCTATATACTTATAAGTCCTGCTGCTATATTTACCTAATTAAAAAATAGACTATATTTTATTTTAATCACATGATTTAGCATTCTTTGGTACTAATATATTCAATACACAAAAGAAGTAATAATAAGGGGAATACTATGGGATTTAAGGGATTCGGATGTTAAACAATTTACCTTTACATTCACAAAGCCATGAATTTATTCCAAGGTACTTTAAAATTTTGTGATAAACATTAGACATCATTCTGATATAATATCAAGATTTGCTCTTTTAGATTCAAAAACCTGTATGAAATTTGCAATTGATTCATTGTGTATTTGATACAAGTAATATTATACCTTTATCCAAAACTTTGTTATACTTATCAAGTGCTTAACTGAATAAACGTATAATATTTACAAAAATATTCTAAAATACTTGTTTGAAATCATCNTCAAGATTTGCTCTTTTAGATTCAAAAACCTGTATGAAATTTGCAATTGATTCATTGTGTATTTGATACAAGTAATATTATACCTTTATCCAAAACTTTGTTATACTTATCAAGTGCTTAACTGAATAAACGTATAATATTTACAAAAATATTCTNACTATAGTTTTTTGTTACAGAAGATAATTTTGCAATATAGAAACAAAAGTAAGTACATTACATAATTAATACAGAACTGATAAGAAGAAGGAGATTGTACTAATGAATAAGGACTACAATTGACTTCTTATAAAATAAAAGTGTATAAATCTACCTTTAACTTATTTAACGCATAACATGCTATCATTTTTTTATTATGAACCATTCAATCAAAAAAACTTTGCAGATAAAGAAATTGACATATGCAAACAAAATACACTGAACCACCGTTTTGCACTCATTCTTTACTTTCTGTATCTGATTTGTGAACGCGTGAACAAAAAATAAACATTGATATGGCTCTCACGTGAAGAAGGATAATAATACAGATAAAAAATGAAAGAGGGGAGACGAAATCATAGCGAAGAAGTGAAATACATAGAAACGGAAGCATGGATATGTTTGCCATTTGACGATTGGAACTCGAGAGTAAATGCAGGTGAAAGAAGTGTAGGACTGGCGGATGTCAAATCACAAGTATCTACTCACATCGGCAGACGATCGTTTGTTCGTTCACTTATTCGTTCACGACCCAACGGAATGCGGTAGTTCGCGCGTTCGTTCATTCGTTCGATTTTTTCTTTCGTTTTTCGTTAGCTCGGAAAACCGCCGAGAGGAATGCTGAAAATTTAGTCGTGTCGGGTTGAGTTGAGTCGAGCTGGAACTCGCGAGTACGACGTAGCCGAGAGAAAGTCACCGTATTGATCGTCAAAATCGTAACATAATTTCCCTGATTTATCGGATGCAACGTTTTCACTGGATAGAATTCGATCGAAGAGGCTGAGCGAACCTCCCGGCTGTAGATTCACATAAATCACATCGCTTCTGGCCTTATCGCGGCACCGAGCACGCGAGGAAACGCGTACCTGTCAGTCGCCATTTTTAAACTACCTGGAGAAAATCATTCGTGTATTGCCCTTCACCGCGCGCTAATTTCGACTTTTTTCAGATTACTCGGCCTGTCTCCATGCACTTGTATGTACTACGCACGAATTTGATCTTGCACTGAACCTTTATCCGTCTATTTACGGTTCATACTAAAGTATGGCTTACTCGGAACCTAAAACTCCACATATTCCAGAAACATGAGATATCTCTGCTGTCTTTGTATTACTGTTATCTTAACATTCTTCTGTAAGCAAACTCGCGCTAATATATTTAATCACCGAATCTTTAAATCCAACTTATCGTACCATCGCACGTACACATTCGCATTCTTTTGATTATATTCTGGCTAAATAAAAGTTTATCATACTTCTGAGATTAAGGTTTACAGAATATTTTAAATGAGAGACATAAACAAATACATTCTTTCCGTAAAAACAAATTTAATCAAAAATCTGTTGGCTTTATTTATTTCATAATTACACTTATTAATAAAATCTGAAGAACATTGTGTCGCTGTTGAAATATAATTTCAATATTCCCGCCACAGAGTGGTACGATATTATCAGAAATAAGGTATAGATTGTACTGATAGATACTACACTCTATTTCTGTTAGTTTCTGTTACGTATGTATCGGTAGAATTAGGTAGAATTGAGTGACGAAAGTCTTTGCTGATTTAGGTAGGATATATCAATATAGAGGATTATTTTAATGATGCATCGTAAATTAGTGCAGCATTCTTCTTCACTGTCCTCAAATGAATCCGACACATCTTCTACAACAACATGTACAAATGAAAAACAAGTATCGAAAGTTCGTTTGGCTATCGTCGCTGGAGTTTTTGCGACTGTCGGAAGTCTGTTGGGTAAACTTGCTGGAAATTTTGGAATGGACTCCGTAGTAAATAATGCGATTTCTATATTTATTATACTGTCACTTGCTAGAACAATGATTGATGACTCGTATCTCCTAAATAAGGTTGGGTTGCTTTTGAAAGGCGTCCTCTTGATACTGATGATATCAAGTAATACAATCGGTTGCACGTTTTTCGTGAAAGCGCTGAATGCCAGTGGATCTTCCTTACCATGTACAATTGCCAGCTCTGCCACCAGTTATGTTTGTTCGGTAATTCTTTTACCAAAGTATCGAAGTNATAGTTTTTTGTTACAGAAGATAATTTTGCAATATAGAAACAAAAGTAAGTACATTACATAATTAATACAGAACTGATAAGAAGAAGGAGATTGTACTAATGAATAAGGACTACAATTGACTTCTTATAAAATAAAAGTGTATAAATCTACCTTTAACTTATTTAACGCATAACATGCTATCATTTTTTTATTATGAACCATTCAATCAAAAAAACTTTGCAGATAAAGAAATTGACATATGCAAACAAAATACACTGAACCACCGTTTTGCACTCATTCTTTACTTTCTGTATCTGATTTGTGAACGCGTGAACAAAAAATAAACATTGATATGGCTCTCACGTGAAGAAGGATAATAATACAGATAAAAAATGAAAGAGGGGAGACGAAATCATAGCGAAGAAGTGAAATACATAGAAACGGAAGCATGGATATGTTTGCCATTTGACGATTGGAACTCGAGAGTAAATGCAGGTGAAAGAAGTGTAGGACTGGCGGATGTCAAATCACAAGTATCTACTCACATCGGCAGACGATCGTTTGTTCGTTCACTTATTCGTTCACGACCCAACGGAATGCGGTAGTTCGCGCGTTCGTTCATTCGTTCGATTTTTTCTTTCGTTTTTCGTTAGCTCGGAAAACCGCCGAGAGGAATGCTGAAAATTTAGTCGTGTCGGGTTGAGTTGAGTCGAGCTGGAACTCGCGAGTACGACGTAGCCGAGAGAAAGTCACCGTATTGATCGTCAAAATCGTAACATAATTTCCCTGATTTATCGGATGCAACGTTTTCACTGGATAGAATTCGATCGAAGAGGCTGAGCGAACCTCCCGGCTGTAGATTCACATAAATCACATCGCTTCTGGCCTTATCGCGGCACCGAGCACGCGAGGAAACGCGTACCTGTCAGTCGCCATTTTTAAACTACCTGGAGAAAATCATTCGTGTATTGCCCTTCACCGCGCGCTAATTTCGACTTTTTTCAGATTACTCGGCCTGTCTCCATGCACTTGTATGTACTACGCACGAATTTGATCTTGCACTGAACCTTTATCCGTCTATTTACGGTTCATACTAAAGTATGGCTTACTCGGAACCTAAAACTCCACATATTCCAGAAACATGAGATATCTCTGCTGTCTTTGTATTACTGTTATCTTAACATTCTTCTGTAAGCAAACTCGCGCTAATATATTTAATCACCGAATCTTTAAATCCAACTTATCGTACCATCGCACGTACACATTCGCATTCTTTTGATTATATTCTGGCTAAATAAAAGTTTATCATACTTCTGAGATTAAGGTTTACAGAATATTTTAAATGAGAGACATAAACAAATACATTCTTTCCGTAAAAACAAATTTAATCAAAAATCTGTTGGCTTTATTTATTTCATAATTACACTTATTAATAAAATCTGAAGAACATTGTGTCGCTGTTGAAATATAATTTCAATATTCCCGCCACAGAGTGGTACGATATTATCAGAAATAAGGTATAGATTGTACTGATAGATACTACACTCTATTTCTGTTAGTTTCTGTTACGTATGTATCGGTAGAATTAGGTAGAATTGAGTGACGAAAGTCTTTGCTGATTTAGGTAGGATATATCAATATAGAGGATTATTTTAATGATGCATCGTAAATTAGTGCAGCATTCTTCTTCACTGTCCTCAAATGAATCCGACACATCTTCTACAACAACATGTACAAATGAAAAACAAGTATCGAAAGTTCGTTTGGCTATCGTCGCTGGAGTTTTTGCGACTGTCGGAAGTCTGTTGGGTAAACTTGCTGGAAATTTTGGAATGGACTCCGTAGTAAATAATGCGATTTCTATATTTATTATACTGTCACTTGCTAGAACAATGATTGATGACTCGTATCTCCTAAATAAGGTTGGGTTGCTTTTGAAAGGCGTCCTCTTGATACTGATGATATCAAGTAATACAATCGGTTGCACGTTTTTCGTGAAAGCGCTGAATGCCAGTGGATCTTCCTTACCATGTACAATTGCCAGCTCTGCCACCAGTTATGTTTGTTCGGTAATTCTTTTACCAAAGTATCGAAGTAATGACTAGATCATTTTCTTCTTATCACTTATCCATATTGCTTGTTGTGTTTGAAGGCTCTAGCTGGTTTCCTGATTTTTAACGAATCCACGTCGATTACCTGGTGGTGTGGCATATCGTTAGTTATTTTAGGTTTATTTTTCATAAGTCGTGTTCCAGCAAAAAGTGATTCTACGGAGAAATTGAAACAAAAATAGATGTGTGGGTAGACTTGAAAATAAACAGACGATCGTGTTGAAAGTTCCCTCGAAATTATCCTAGATTCCTTCCTTTTTTCCTTTCACTATAGTTGAACTGTTAATTTAGAAACAATAACATTTAATTAGTTTTTGAACGATCTGAATAAACAATAACCTAAAGAAACATGAACTTTCAAAGATTTCTAATGCACTCTCTATTCTTAACTTCATTCCTCTTGAGAAAAGTAATGAGTGCGAGAAATAGAAGAAGAAAGAGATCTCAAGTGACACTTGTTTTAAAGTGCAAAGTGGATTTGCGTATGTACTTGTAATAGTACCGAATAAGAGACACTGACGAAAAAGAATGGAAGATTCTTCCGCCCTATTTCCTTCGACACACGGACTATTCAAATCTCTTTTTACAGAAGTAAGCTTAAAATCCTTTCTAAGTTTCTATGATAAACCCTTTTTGTGAGTTTTCATTTTACTAATGCGCCATTTAGATAATTAATCACGATAATACTTTGATCATAGTTGTGAAACGTATTCTTATGTTATAATGTCAGATTCCAGTGATCAACTGAATATGTATTGGCTAAACTAATTTACTCCGGTTACTCAGAGATGAGCTTATAAACATGAAAACCGCAAACAACGTTCAATTTACGAAATTGAGTTAGCGTAACTCAATTAGCAAATATATATCAATCGATTGAATATCAATTTTAATAAAATTCGTTTATTTTACACTAGAGTATTCAATTTCAAAATTAAAGCAAAGCAGGCCTTTAACACGCGGGTCCGGTAGGTGCCACAGAATGCAAACTCTATATGTATATACACAAACGAGCATCAAAGTGAAACAAAATTTACATACTATAATTTTGGTAATTCTCTTAGCCGGCTGCGCATGATATTTTAGAGGACTAGATTTAAATGCTTTGTTATTTAAGGCAAATTATTTGTTTTTATAAAAATTGTTTAATTGTTTGTTGATTTTCGCAACCCTTCATGTGTTTCGACAGAAGCAAACTGTAAAATAACCTTGATCAAGCTCTGGTATTTTATCTCTTTGTCTTTTTACGACTATGTATCTCTTTCACCGACGATACGTACATTCACCTAGGTTAGTAATGAAACAAGTCACTAGTCCAGGGTTACTAACTAGCCCCACTGGCGTACCCTAGCTAAAGTTGTGTGCGTACAGAGCTGTAATCCTCAGTCGACGAGTTGACCAGGTTCTCAGTTTGTGGGGCAGGGTCGTGGTTCGTAGATGTATCATGTGGTCGCGAAGGAGAAGAAGCGAAACGCGAAAGAAGAGCGAGAGGACGGCTTTATCGAGCGGCGTCTGCGCTACAGCGCACTTCTCCACACCGCCGTCTGCTGGCCGACAGTGACGCTCCGGACTTCAGGATACAGTAGTTTCCCTCTTTTTCTCTATTTCCGCACCTCCTCCGTACCGCCATTTGAGATTCCATATCATAACAAGTCACTTTTTTTACAATATCTATCATAGTACGCATATTTCTGCACACGATACTTTTACTATCTCTCAATTATAAGAAAAGGAGAGACAAGGTCGCTTTGGGTTTTATAATTATATGCCTCTATACGTGCGCTTACTCACCGTACCAGACTTGTTGACACTGTTCATGTTATTCAGGTCAGGTCAGACACTATTCTCTGCCATACGTTGTAACTGTCAGCTGTGCCACCGAGCGAATCGATACGCAATCCATCATCCGTTCTCCAATAAAACTCGGACGTACTTTGAACCGTCTTCCCGCTCTTTTACATTTCACAAAAATGGCGGATGTTGTTGGTGAATGAAAACGACCGTCGCCGGTGCTCGAATTTCTCGGAAAGTAAACATCGATTGCGAGAAAAACGGTGGTCTACTTATCCGTGTGTTCGGCGCAAATGTAAACCGAGGAAAACCGCTGTCGATTGAACGTGTCCCAGACGTGAAATAATCCTTCCCCTGAATCCTATGACTGGAAACTCTCCCTCGGGGTTGGCTTTCGTTATTCAACGGGTTGCACTGCCCCGTGCACGCCTTACTTTCCCCCACCGGTGGCCCAGACCTCCCTCCTCCACCCGTTCCTATCGTTCTCCCTCTTGGCAGCAAGTGCCCCTAGATTCTGGCAACGCTCCTTGCTACCGAGACAACGGGACAGTTTTCATACGGCGCACCCTCCTACCAATCGAGTCGAACGTACGCACGGTGGCTAGGCAGTGCGTAACGCGGTCCGTGTTAACCGTGTCCGCTTGATTCGCCGCGGTGTGCGTTGCCGTGCCGAATACGGTGGTTAATTCAGCGAAATAAAACGGTGTTTTCAACGTGACAGTGTTCGACAGGTAGCGGAATTACCACCCTGGATCAATCGGCCGCCCCTTCGAAAATCATCGTAACCGCTGATGCATCTCATGCCTTACCCTTACCCTGGTCTCTCTATCTTTCCGCTTGATCACCATCTCGACCCCTAATTCGGAGGGTAGCTATATGGATCACTTTTATGTACTTCGAACCCATAACCCGTGAAATCCTTAAGCGGATCCTTAAGCGGATCCTGAAACAGAGTCTCGGTCCCCGTGGTTCTTATGCGGCATTCGCGAGAAGTCTGAATGGACCTGTTTCACGGTCGATCCTGAATGGGACAGTGATTTTGCTGAAACACGTTCAGAATTAATCGTTCAAACGGCCGAACCGATCAACCATACTTTTTGTATGTTCTGTATCTGCTGCGCGGTTGACTGCGACCTGCGATGTTGATGCAAAACTTTACTGTGCACAAATGTTCTTATACTGTGTTTTAAATGCAATTGAGATTTTGTTAATTCGTAGGTGATTTTTACTTGTTTCTGACATGACACAATGTGAATTTCGGAGGAATAATATTTTCGAGAACGTTGAAGTTAGTTGACAATGGTGTTATTACCATTGCAATTCGTAAATTGTATCAAATCCCGTATATTTGTCTAATGCAGGCGAATAGTGCAACTTTAACGTTAGTTTGTGGACCAATGTAATGGAAACAGGCCCGTGAAAACTTAGATCAGAGATGCTTATGTAAATAATCTTTACCTGCTGATTTTTGAAACCAGTAATTAAGTAAAAATTCGTGAACTCTATGAACGTGTTCGATGGTTGGAGAAAAAACAAGTTAACCTTAAGGTACATTGAAAACAAGAATTGTAAAAGAATTTCGTTCATTGTGTCGTTCCCACTGTTTTATCTAACGATTTGAAAATACGAAGTTCATTAAATAATATTGTTAAAAATAAATTTATTTATTTTTACACACATAAAATTTAAACAACGCATCTTGTAGAAAACTTTCTCTGTATGGGCTTCTAAAGATCACGAATGTTTGTTCTCAAGATTAAGTTTGAAAAACGGTGTGAAGCAAAACGTCCATTGTTTTCTGTACCTTCTATGTAAAGAAATTAATCGGTTTGGCTTACCAGAGACCCCGAGTTCGTAGCAAACAAATGCACTGTTCGTAACGAAAGGAAAATTACTCATTCATAGGACTTGTACGACTTTTCAGGAACATAACAGAATCGGCTGTTCATAATTCCGGATGGAATTATTTAATACACCTCTGACTCAGTGTAAAAATTGATAACCGGCAGCCTTGAATGTTATTCGATAACTTACACGAATCGTGTTCACATGATCGCGCCATTGTTATTACCCGTGACGAATAGTTGTTGCTGGTGCTAACTATTTACATGCACGGAAAAAATTGCGCGCACGCATACGAGACAGATAACTTGATAACCCATCACGAGTAATTATTTATTCAAGCAGTGTTGGCAGATCGCGGATTAGATGCACTTGCAGTACACGCAATCGTTCGAACATAAAATGAATAGAATAAAAACATCGACGATATTTAATATAAACTTTATTTCGTTCTTTTGTATTTAACAAAAAACGATTGGCAATTTTTGTCTCAGCAAACTAATTTATACGATCATGCATTCGGGCTATATACTCTAATTTTGTTATTCGATCTAATATTCATTTCGATTTTCTTTCGTAAACGCCGGAGCGACCCAAGCAAGAGATAGTTTCACGAACCCCGCGTACCTCAGTAAATTATGATAGGTAGACCGATGCGCGACGATGTAAAGACCGATCAAAAGTGACCCGTGTATCAACGCAGGTTAAGAATCGATTAACGTTTCATTAATTTTGTAGCAACGGTTACCTATGATCGAGCGCGATAGTTGGCCGTGTTAGGGAACCGTTTACCCCAGTTTATGGCAGCGGTGAGAGAAGTTTTGACAAGTCAAGACGAATGTGGACACTAAGGTCGGTGTTTTATCGGTTGATTCGATCACGAGAGTCGTTCTTCCTCGGTCTCGATAGCTCCTCTTACCCGATCCTCGGTCGCGAGTTGTCTCGACGATTTTGATTTTTGGCAAGTTCAGCACACGCAAGACCAGCTTCGATTTTCTATTTGGCGACGGTCCAACTAATACAGCGAAACCGAAGACGCGAAAACTTTTTAATTTATCGCCGCGGGCCGAGTAACGATTCCGGCCGCGTTCCATTCCTCGTGTTATGTACAGGGATGACGGCTCTTTCGACGTGTGCATCGTGCATTTAAAACGTCAGAGAAAAATCGACTGCCGGGGGAAAAAATAATACGGGGCTTTATTTCCTTTCCCCACCCCTACGCCCCTACCATCGCTTCGCCAGGCTGGCCCGTTTTCCACGAACGATTCAACTTCGAATCATTTCTATTCCCGTTTGCTGGGTAACAACTTGATTATTCGGCGCCGTAATAAGCCTCGCGTTTCGTTCTGCTCCCTCGTTCGATGAATTACGGTTGGGACAACAGCAATGTAGACGAAGATTCAGGGAACGATAACCGACGTTGATATTCTAGCGAAAGTGGCCGTTGCTCTACGACACTCACAGATATTAATTTCACGCGATTACGGCCGCGGTACGGATGTTTATCGTGATTTAAAAAAAGAAAAAAAATTGGAAAAGTTCGCCGGGACTCGTTTGCGGTGCAACATGGCAGAACAAACGCGTCGCAAAGGTTGCGTGTTCAGCGCCGACCATAAGCGATGATGGGGACTTCTCAGAATTTGTGCTTTAACCTATTTTTTACACTAAGTACTGTTCACCGCTCTGGGGTTTAATTACGTCAATAGAAAAACCTCGCAGTAAAGCCGCACGGTTTTCGAATGCGAACCTCTAACAAGCATTCTTCAAAGTTAGATTGTTCTTAACTTTAGTCGTTCAATGAACCGAGTCCAAAATGAAAATGGATAGAAATGTCGCGATGAATGAATAATAAAAAATGTTGTTAGGAGCGCAGAGATATGTTCGATTATTTGTGCAAGAAATAATTGGGAACGTAAATTTACTGTTAAAATTCGTTTGCGCAAATATTGGGTGAAGTCATACATAAATTCCGTTCCTGGGAACAAATTGTAACGATGCATTTTATCATTCTAATGATTCGCTATGCTCCACCTACCTGACAAATTACGACAATTCATTGCAGATAATGCTGGAATTGATTAAAGTATAATTAATTGTCGAATCAAAGAGTAAAATAACTTCGTTTTTCGATCGATCTTATAAATCGTCGAATGATCTGATTTTGGAAAAGCAGTGTGGGAACGCAAAGCTGTGAAAGGTGAATCGAAGAAAATTATGTCTCCGCGCCTATGCCTAGTCATTGTACACGTCGATCGGTCCCGGCGGAGGGATGCGTGGCGAACGCACATGCTCTGACACAGTTAAAAAGAGTTTCGTGACAGTTCGTTTAATCAGCGATCGCTCACCTAAGATTTATATACCCGCGAGCCAGTTTTTATCTTTCCCCTGCATTTTCACAAATAGCGGACCAACGTTGGAGAACGATTAAAATGCAAAGCCACACGACACCGAGCAAAGTATATTTTATTACTTTTTTTTATAATCAACGATTGTGAACATAAAACTGAAAAAGTATGAGAGATTATGATCATAGAACAACGATAAAGTGAACGTCTAACAAATTGTAAGTGAGCATTCGGTCAGTGAATCGTGTTTGAAGAGGATTATACTTCAAGGTGAGTTAGTAATGAATGCCATCTGAAGTATTTGCTATACTAGATTAAGAATAGGCCCAGCCGATTAAGATAGTCAAAATTGCCCTTAGAGGTTTTTTAATAACTATTATATCGTTCGATGGCTGACCAAGAAAATCTCATCTGTGCGAAATTTCAATCTCGCAACTTGTCCGTGAGGGTAGTTACAGGGTAAATTATTCGATTTTCATTTTTTTTTTACAATAGTGCGGCTGGGTGAAAAATCTGAGAAAAATTGAGCGCACTGCTTGTGATAATACCTTATTACGGAATTAATATAAAAAAGGATGGTATTTTTGTTTTCGAGAAATCTTCAATTTTCCGACTCATTTTTGGTTTTTCACTTTTGATAATCACCGAAAAATCTGAAAAAAGTCAGTAACTTACGGCTGATGTCCAAAATAAGCCACATTTTTTCAAAATTTTAAAAATGCCACCGGAGGGAGAAAATCGACGGAAAAGTGCGCAATCTAGTTTACCCTGTAACGGACAAGTTTCAAGGTTGAAATTTTGAACAGATGAGTTTGTCTTGGTCATTGAAAAACCTCTATAGGCAGTTTTGACCATCTTAATCGGCTTGGTCATTTCGATGCTTGTGAATAAATATACTCGTCGAACATAAGATCGATAAAACGCTTCGAATAAAATATATTTATTTGGTTCAAAGAATAATCAGTAATGAACAAAAAGAAAGAAAGGAGTTAGTCAATTTATCACCGAATAAACAATTTCAGTCTCACTGATAACTTCCAATTCTAAACGATGAAGTTTCTGAATGAAATTCTGAATAAATTCCAAATAAATTTCGAACAAAGAATAATAATCGAATAAATCGAGAATAAAATAGAAAAATGATTTCAGATGGCAGTGGTTACTAACTCAATCTGTACAGAAACATTGATCACACCGGTAGATAATATCTTGGTAAAAACGGACGGTGTAGAAATATGCAGAGTGCGTCGTGCAAACGTTTATCGACTTTGCGAGATTTAATTAGCGATCAAGTGTATCGAAACTAGTTAAAAACTTTGGGGAAACATCTTCGAAGATGGTGCAGAGCGTGGGACGCACCGGTGGGAACGAAAGGAACTGTTGTTCAACAATAAGGCCATCCGGGAGCGAGCTCGAGAGACGAAAGATAAGAGAAGATGGAGGAATCGTCCCGAGTTTGACGAGCGATTAGATTGATAGTTTTTATCGTGGATCTACGATTCTCCTTGTTGCCGGAGGGAATTGCCTCTATTCGAGCTGGCGTCATGGGGAATGGTATGAATAAGGTAAGAGAGACGCGCCTAGAGAGAGTCGAGAAATCTACTAACACGATTTCACCTGCATCAGATTCAAGGGAAAACATTTATTTCGCTCATTAACCCATTCAGTGCTGTCTAACATGAAAAAGTATAATAGAAGAAGTATCTATTTTTTATATCGTATCAACGATTTTATATTTCATTCGTGTTATACAAATGCTACTTACGTTACAGACTTTGCACTCAACGTTAATTCTTTTGTAAATCATATTCACGTTTTTTGCACTTTAAGTTAATGATTCATTAAATCATATTTACTTCTTGACAAATAAAATTAACGCTTTTGCTGGTTTTATTCATCGCTTGATGAATTTATAATTTTTACCTTTTTCAGATTTCATACGAATTTATATGCTCAGCATAAAATAATGTAAATTTAATTGTAAATAATTCACTTTTAATAATTATTCGCACAAAAGGTTATTCAATTTTTTAATTTAATATGAATTTTGTTAGAAATAATTACAAATAAATGAATTGAATTTGTAAAATGGTGAACATGATTTACAAAAGGATTAAATTTTAGTGCAAAACCTTTGTACTATTTTGTACCTTTGTACAAATCTTTGTACTAACCTAATTACTTGCACTTACATTATATTTATGTAATAAATCATAATTAAAGATCATCAGCAGATAGATCTTC